GAGGGCGTATAGTTCTGAGTGGAAGCACCGTTTATCGTGGACTTTTCCCGAAAAACGCACCGACAAGCTTCTCAGGGCTCCAGTCATGGTCGGTCTCATCCTTGACGGTGAGGTCAAGTGGCGTGTTCGATTTGTCATCGTCCAGACTTTCCTCTTTCTGAATCGTTGCTGATTCATCGGCTGACTGTTCGGTCTGGAAAATCAATGTTTTTCGAATGTTCGTTCTAGATTTCGTAAACAGAGCGAATTCTTCAACAACAACTTCTGCTCCCTTCCTACTAGCTTCTTCACCCTAACTGCGCTAAGAATCATCCATTCTTTCCTAATGATAATTTACGACGATACCTGTTAATTAGTGTTGTGGATAATTAACGAGACAATCCAATTCACCCCCCTTAAACTACCTCATTCGAGTACGGAGAGGAGGGTCAGTGAGGGTCACACAATTACTCAAGAATATCCACATCTGGCTGTGTCGAATGCTACGGTAATAGGATGAGCCGGCTAAATTAGTCGCCTAAGTACCACCTGAGCCCCGGATTTGATGTAAATAAAGGTGTTGAGCGAATATTCAATTACTTGAGAAGAGATAACTATAAAACAAATCGAACCTGAGAAGCAAGCGCTGAGTACTGTTGTGCCCAAACAGACATTATCTGAGCTGCATTGGGATGAGGTATGGCAGATGTGGCCGCTGATAAAGGCCATGGCATTCGAGCTAGCGGCGGAAGTCGGTTACTTCGGCGCTCTTTTGCTCGAGTGTTTTGGAACCAAACCTAAAAAATGGGCAGATTTTGATTACCTTAAAAGGGACCAATGCATCATTTCATTGTGTGCATTTCGAATTTTCAAGTTTTTCCCACCGTTTTAATACAACTGGATGGTAAATTGAATGAAAATGAGGACTTCTGAGACTTAAGACAAAAGTGTGCTCTATATATGTTTGACAAAATTTCAGCTCTATTTAGTAACCCTCTCAGATTGTTTTGGTTTTCTTACTGGAAGGAAATTACCGTAAGAAGAAGCAAGATGAAGATCCGTTGAATGAATTTTAATATGTGAAAATGTGAATCAAAAAGATACTTCTCGCGTGGCTACATAACCTATTCTCATGTTTTTTCAATTTTCCACCAAGCCTTAGCTATCTCAGGTCGAAAACATTTGGTCGGCAGACGAAACAAAAAACCACTCGAAAAACCCCGGACGCAGGTGCTGTACACGAGCAAAGCAGCTTTTTCTATTCCATTCCGTATACCTATGCTGATTGACTGGCACCTAATGGGTGCATCCCTCGTCATTGAGAGGTGGTAGCACCCAAAAGTACAGGGACTCGACGTCAACAACAAGGGCGTTTCAAAAGTGAGAGGGGTATCGGAGATGCCCTTTCGCAAAACTCCATCGCCACTTTTTCATTGATGAATTTTGAAACAATGCTTTGGGACATCGACTGAACGAATCGTACGATGAGAAAATGATTCAAACTCGTGAATACGGTAATAGGGTGGGATGAGTTGTCAATACAGCACAGGAAGGGTTTCTCACCTGAACCACACGCTTGTTGACTCCGATTTGCTCAGCTACAGCTGATAGCTCGTATTTCGAGGGGAATGGGTTGCGCTTGAAGTGATTACTAAGGATCGTAACCTGCAAGGTAAAACTCCGATTGAGTCCTACTCGAGCACTTTTTGCAAACAAACCTGAGCATCAGTCAAAAATGACCGGGAACGGAGCGGACGCCAATCCTGAGGTGAAGCCTTCGCGTCGTTAATCACCTCGTTCCCAACGACAACTTCTAGCTCACCATCGGCAATTTCGCTCTTAAACGAAAATCACAATTTTTCCTTAACCCAAAATAACTTAATCGAACACATACCGAATCATCCTTCTTAGCCTCCCTTTCCTTTTTATCATCTGGGGACGACTCTGATCGTGGTGGACTCCCTTCTGAGGAAATTGTCGAGTTAAGGTAAGACGACAAGAGGGATGAAGGCGAAGTGGGGAGAGGAGAAGTTGGAACGGTATCGGCTATCTAGAAGAAAATCGCATTATATGGGTTTACATCATGATAAGAATAGACAATGTAGTGAAAATGCATTTAAATGAACACTGTGGATTTCA